CCTGCATTATCATATTCATGCTGATAACACAACCTGTAGTTGCGACGAGTGTCTGCTCACTCATTAATCATTAATCTGACTTTCTTTAATCCTTGTGTAAAATATCCAACAACGGTTATCTCTCCATCAGAAACTGGTGGCGCGTCCTGGTGAAATGATGTACTACAGAGCCTTTGGCGTCCTCTGGCAGATGGCCTGTGAGATTGAGCTACTGCACAAGGTACAGTATGAGGCAGAGCACTTTCTGTTAATGCAGTTGTGCAAAAACCAGTGATTTAAACAGATGTTTTATAGAAATGTTTGTTATTTTTGTCTCTGTGTAGGCGCCGTGGGAGTCATTTGTGGTGTCATCAAAGCAAGGCGTACCTAGCTCTAAAGGCAAGGTAAGGAAGGGAATAGGCTCAATAACGGTAATTGGGTAACCTTGATTGTATTTTATATTTATGGTAAATGTCCTGTATTTGTATAGCCCTTTACTTAGTCCCTATGGACCCCAAAACGCTTTACACTACATTCAGTCATCCAACCATTCACACACTGGTGATGGCAAGCTACATTGTAGCCACAGCTGCCCTGGGGCGCACTGACATTTCCCCTCGTCCTCTCCTCAGCTTCCAAATGATCACCTGTGCCTGGTGCGTCTGCGCCCACGGGCAGATCTGTTCTCTGCAGGACTGACTCCCTCCAACGCATCAACTCTACTGATGATGATCAAACAGTGTCTGGCAAAGAGGAAGGTCAAGCTCATTGACAGGCTCAAGTAAGCAGTGCACACACTTAATTGTCGAGATTAAATAGCCAAAATACTGCACATGTATTAGAGATGTGCTCTTACTGTAACAACTGTACACACACCAGTTTAACACCGGTCTAGTTACTTTGAAAAAACCCCTACATTTCCACACATTTGAGAGCTTTTTTTTTTTTTGTTGTTGTTGCCAACGTTCTTTCCAATTCAACAAAACACGCCTTTGTGCTATTAATAACATGAACCAAAGTGTACTGGTTATTTGATTATTCCAGGGTGGATGCTCTTACTTTAGAAAAGTACCATAATTGAATCCAGAGATCTGTTTCTGCAGAATCTTCGTCAAAGTCTTAAATGTCTTTGAAAGTTTCAAATATTTGGGCATTTCCAGGATTTATAAGCTACACAGGATGATTTTTGTCTTGAGAGGGGGAAACATTTAGGACAGTTTGAGCAAGTATTATCTGTGCAGTCTCTTCAACTGTAATACACCATGCCTTTAGTGCTTCTTACAGAAGTTAGGACCATTTCCATTTAAAGAAAACAACAGTGGACAAAATCTGAGCTGCCAATCATTGGTGAGTGGTTTTAAGCTTCTTTTGCTATTCCTTACTGTGTCTCTTATTTTTTGTTTTCCAGTCTCTGGTCACCAGACAGTGGCAGTAAACTGTTATCAGAGATGGGCATGTCGGAGGACATACTGACAGGCCACGTTTTTCCAGAGGAGTATCTTAGACTGTTCCAGCTGATGGACAAGAGCCAGGAATTCACACAGAGCTGGCTTTATGAAGAAATCTTGGAGAACACACAGAGGGAGGGTTGGGGCTAAAACCTAGACAAACAGACCATATATGTATAGATTTACAGTGTGCATACAAACACGTGTGATATACTGATGATGTAATATAGATGATGATGATGATGATGATAATATAATATGTGGCAGAACTTAGAGATGCAGTTGTGATGTTATCACGGTTGTATTTGTTACTGAAATGATTTAAACGTGACTGTGACAAACTCCACAAACTTCAGGGCTGCGGAGGAAGGACGTCAAATAAATGTTTTGATAAAGTGAGATTCCCAAGAGGTGCGATTTTAGAGAAACACACTTAAATATGACACTTTTCTTTAGCAATGAGAGAAGGGGAAGAATGCTACTGTAATTAAAAGTAAAAACCGGTCTTAACAGTTAAGTTTCTGCATTATTACCAGAATCTCTCTTAACACCCAAATGGGTTCGTTCAAAAGAGGATACAAAATTTTGCATGTGCTGTAATCGATGACTAGTACCGCTGCAGTTTTACTGAACAAAACCCCCAAGGTTTTGATACATAATCAAGGAGTGCCGAGTGGCGTCTGTCTTGTATATTTTTGTGTAATCAGTTGCAAGTCCATAAGCTAAAATGTGTGTAATGCTGTCATATGTCACCAGTTAATATTTCTCGTTGATGTATAATCCACACAAATAAATGTTCCCCTTTCTAGGAGCTAGAAGGCCAGCTTGATGGTCA